AAGGTAGTGACTGTATTTACATTTGAAACGTGTCCTACCAAAAAAAATTTTTTTAAACATATTCTACCAACTTTTCTGTGTATTACATTATATATATAGAGAGAGATAGATATATAGATATAAATGTATATACTTGTATATATGTATGTGGTGTGTGTGTATCCACACACAAAAAATTATATTTTCTGCTATTCTATTTCTTGATATTTATCATGAAGAAACAGTTGAATAGGTAAGCAAGATTCATGTGAAAAAAAGTTTGCATAACCATATTGGAAATACTTATTTTATTGGAAACTTCCTAAATATCCATCCATAGGGGAGAGGATTGGTAAAATAGACTCTGGTACATCCATATATAATAGCAAAAATGATATAATATATTCTTAAATCCATTGACATAAAAAGATAATTGAATATATTCTAAAATGAAATAAATCTGCTTACACATACACACACAGACACAATTTACTAAAATAATATAGTGATTATCTCTGATGGCTACGATTTCAGATAACTTTACCTTCTTCCTTAATATTTTATATTGATCAAATTCTTCTATAATCAGCATATACAGATGTTATATATTGAAAATGTATTCCTCCCAAGTAAATTTAACACAGATGCTCTGGGAATATTCATCATGTTTATCCAAAGGCTTCTCTATCTCCCCAGCAGATGACCTTGGACGCCTGGAAAAGCCTCTGCCCCAGTTCTAGAAGCAGTTTCTAGAAAACTTGAGGAAGATGGAAGACGACTAGCTGAATGTGCTACACATACTAAAAAATTCAAGCTGTAAATATTTAAGTGTCATTTTGCATGTTATTTATATATTTGCTCAGCTGTCAGTACTTATGTTTGCTGTGCCCTAGATGTGCTTTTCTATGTTTTGCCTTAAATAATGTTCTCCTGGGAGAGAACCAGGCTATAAAGTCCTTCACATAGAATGCCAAGAGAGCATTTCAAGCAACTGGACATCTAAGCGATTATTTTGACACTGTTAATAAAGATCAATAGTTATTTTAAGCACTAATTAGCACAATGAGTATTCCTGATGTCATTAGAAGTCTACCTCACAAGAGTTTAAAAACTCCTACATTTAGTATAACGTCTTCTCGTGGGAATTATGCCTGAGGTTGTATGGTTCGATTCCACGACCATTTCTTTGCCAGCTCCTATAAAACACCAGATATCATCACAAAAATGAGTAGGCTAAGCCACCACGTTCATAGTCAAACTCAGGTTGGAATTCAAGCCAGTCGAAACTGATCAATATTTAACATCTGATCATTTGCCAGTCCCCCTGGAAGAGGAAAGGTGCTGACCAGATGCTACGTAGCTCCATTGTTCACATGGATGATGAAACCAAGGCTAGTTTCCACTCTCTAAGAGGGTAGAAAGACTCTCAGGAGGAGTTTCTCCCTGTTTTTAAGGACTTAAAGGGGAAACAGGCTGCCAGACACGCAGCGTATGGGAACACAGTGGGTGTGACTTCTACCCGAGTTTTTCTACCTCCAAGAACACAGCTGTTTTTCTTGGGAATGGCTCAGAGTCTGTACAAATAGTTCTTATCAGGAACACAGCAGCATGGGAGCTTAACCCAGCGGGAATGTCAGGGAGGTAGGAGAAGAGACCATGAAGACCATGAAGAGACCTTCATTTCCTTGCAACCTTCCTAGGGAGTGACTGGAAATTGCTCTCAAAGACAGGCTTATGCTCAGGGGATGGAGACGTCCAACTTTTATGTTTCCTGACCTGCAATGGTAAAACCTGAATATTAAACTAAGCTAATGTGCCATACATCTTGAGGACACCAAAAACAGCAGATCGTACTCTTGTGTGTGGTGTAGTGTGCCTGTGTGTGTGTGTGTGTTTGTGTGTATGCGTATGTCTAACCATCCACATGCACACAAAGATATTTTCTGTGACTCTGTTCTATTTCAAGGAATAGATATAGAAATTCCTATTTCTAGGAATGGATACAGATACCATTGGCGGGAAGCAAGGATATCGGGCCCTATGCCAGCATGGAGGGGATAGCGGCAGGTCATTTCAGAGCAATAGAGTCTAAGTGTTATTAATATTATTTTTACATCTTTCAGAAAGTCTCTACAACCTCTCCACTCCAGCTCTCCCTGTTGGATCAGTCTATCAGATGTCAGACAGGTAGGTATATGGTGTCGGAGTGAGGACTGAAAACAGAAGCTGCTAACCCCTAGCAGGGGGGCCTGGATGAGGAACACAGGTCTCACACCCAAACATTTGTGACTAGGCCAGTGCTTGGAGCTCAAGGAAAACCACCAACTGGGGAGACCATGACAACAAGAGCTGTCTCTTGCATTCTCAGTTCAATCCCTGGGCAAAGAAATGACAATGTTCTTCCCGTAAATACAGAGTAACTGAACCAACCAACTCATGTCCCATTCTCTACACTCTTCACCTGGCCCAAGCCAGACCCCCTTTCCCTTCCCACAGATCTTAGATTCTCCACCTGTTCCCTTGTCTTTTTCAAGTGGGTCCTGTGAAATAAAATGGAACGGAGTAGGATCTTGTTAGTGGAGCCATGGTGGGGGCAAGGCCCGTCCCTTCACAGGAGGTGAAGACAAAACAAGACAAAATCCACAAGTTCAGGAATTCATATGATAGACCTGTGTGGTGTGGTGTGGTTCCCACTGGCCACGTGCAGCTGTCAAGCTCTTGGGATGTGCTAAGTGCAGCAGAAAGACAACATTTTTTATTTCAATTCATTTTAATTCCATTTAAACCTGACCATTTGGTTTTCGTTATTGGAAAGCATAAGTACACACGGAGAAACTGAGGTTTGTAACTATTTCTTTGGCCATGATCCTTATGAACTTTAAATACAGATCAAGCATTTCTGTTGAAAATGTAGTGTCTAAACTCAGATGTGCTCTGAGTGTAAAATACACACCAGAGTTGGAAGACTTAGCAGAAAGAAAACATACAATAGCTCATTAATAATTTTGATATTGATGCATGTTGAAACGAACATACATACTTTAGATATATTGTATGCAATAAAGTTGTATCATTAAAATTAATTTCACCTAATTCTTCTTTTTACATCTTTTAATGTGGCTACTGGGAAATTGTAAATTACATATCGTGTTTCTATTGGTTCTCTGCTCTAAATGTTTGATGTTCCTGGGGATAGTGCCGGAGAGGGGATATCCTGGTCCAAGGGCTCATTCATCACCTGCCCTCTCATATTGCTACAAGGTCCCTGAAGAACTTTCCAACCCTCTCTTTCTGAATTACTGGTTTAATGTTACTTCCTGTGAACGTGTACCTCATCCTTACCCACCAACAGCATTCTCTCTTCTCAGGCCTGCTTCCCCTTCTCTCTTCTGCCAGGCTTTGGAAAATCTATTTCTACTGTGAAGAGTTCTTCTCTCCCTCCCCATTTCTGTCTTATCCTTTAACACCACCCCCTCTGACTTTTTCTGATGACCTGCATCTCTTGAAACTACTTCAGTAGAGGTCAAGGTCTTCACGAGAGGTCGGCTTTATTAGAGGTCTTGCACGAATGTCAGAGGGAGAGGCCATCAGAGTCCCTGCTTGCTCAGGCCTCTCTCCTGCCATATGCTCTGCCTCCCCTCCCTAACGTTGGTGCCAGAAGTTCATGCCCCCTGCCTTCGCCCCCTCTACGTCACTCTCCCGTTCTCTCTGACCCTACATCTCAGGTCAGATTTCTGGAAAAAAGACTTTGCATGGAGATGGAGATCTGCAGGTAGGAGGTCTATCAGGAAGATTTAGGAACAACACCTGTAAGAAATTGAGGAAATGGGACTGGACAGAGAGCAAACTTGAACCGAGGTGCGGTTTCCACAGAGGCCTCCGCTAATCCCTTGGGAAGATCAGGAGCTGGGGTCCTCCGGTATGAAAGCGAGGGAATGTGCCTTTGTATCCCTTCATCAACTGTTGGACCAGATGTCCCCAAGGAAGGGCAATGTGGCTTATACTCCCCACTCCTGAGATGATCCTCTCAAAAGTCTCTCAAAGATCTCTTTGTTTCCAACCTGCTTTCTTGGGCACCTTCCTCTTCAGTGTCCCTGTAGCCCAGGCTTCTCCTGGATTTGGGCGTCGTGCGCAAGTGCTCACCCTCCTGGATGGTGTCAGCTTCTTTCCCTGGCTCCATTTTGAGCTTCCACCTGGGCTCTGGTCTCAGCCCGGCCCTCTCTGCATTGTCCAGACTCCCTCCATCTTGTCTTCCCTCTGCTTCACAGCACCCCGGGTCTTCCCCCAGACTTGCAGCTTGGCAGCGGCAGGTCCTTCTTCAGACCCCCTGGCTACCCCTCCATCTGCAAAACGGCAAGCCCAGTGGCACCCTCCGCCACTGCATCTTCCACATTCACCCCCATTTCAGGCCTGCTCTTCACAGGGACCATTGCAGCCACCTCCTGCAACCTCCACCTGGTCCACTCTGCGGATTTCTGCTCCAGGGCTATGCCTCTGTCAGCAATCCCGGCTTCCAGTGGCCTCCCTGACGTCGCCCCCTGGTAAATGGGTAACCTTGCTTCGTGCAGCCAAGCTTCAGAAGAACGTGGCTGGGTAAGCACAGGCCTTTGTTGCTTTGAGAAATAATAGGCTTCCCCGGGAAAGAGCAGAGCCGGTTCTGGGCAGCTTTGCACCTGTTCTCAGTCAGGGCAAGGCCCGTGCTCTGTGTCTACTGTTCCGCTTCTCTCCAGTCAGGGAAGAGGTCTTAATGCTCCCTGGGCCCAGGAAACAGAAAGCCAAGCCCGCGGACCACAGGGCTCTCGCTGGGACAAGGCCCTGATGGGAGTCTTCCTTATTGTATGCGGGTAGGGAGAAGGAGAGGGGCTTTGAGCCTAGAGTCCCTGGGATCCCCCACAGGCCAGTTTCTGCCGGGGCCCGAGCCAGGCACCAGCCTAGGGGAAAGTAAGACCCGGGAGAGGCCCCAGGGCGGGGGAAGGGGGAGCGGTGGCGGGGAGCTGCGGGCGGACGGGAGATTTGTGAGTCGCCCCTCCCCTCCCCGCAGGGATCCCGGGCAACCACACAGCTGCCCCTAACTCCGACTTAATTGGCTTTGCGAGCTCCGAATTGAAGAGAGGCCAACTCCCGAACAAAGACGCGGCCCAGCTCGGGCTTCTGGGCGAGGCCGGCCGGCTGGGAGGAACGGAGCCTGGGGATCGGAGGGGGGCGAGCCGAGAGGGTGGGCGCTCGGGAAGCGGGGCGGGGCGGACGGGCAGGAAGTGCCGGGGCGCTGGGCTGCAGCCGGGCGGCCCGCACCCCGACCCTGTCCCGCTGGGAGGGCCCGGAGCACCGCCGCGCCTCCCGAGGCTTCGGCTCCCGTCGCTGCGTGCGGACACCCCGCGGCCCGCGGCCGGGTAAGTGCGGCGGCGGAGCAGGGCGCGAGGCTCGGGAGGGCCGGGCCGGGGCGGGGACGCGCGGGGACAGGGGAGGGAGGGGGGGCGGCAGGTAGGTCGCGCGGCAGCTCCGCAGGGAGGAGGCACCCCCACCTCCCTCCCGGTGCCGTGGCCAGACGTGGCTAGCCGGACGTTAGCGGGGCCTGGGCGGGCGGGGGCCAGCCGACTCTGGATGCGGAGGGGGTTGGGGGGGGCAGGAGGCCTCGGATCCCTCTAGGTGGACGCGGGCGCGCACCGGACTCTGCCGGGGTCGCAGCGTTTGTGTCCCTAATTATACTCTTGAGCCCGCCTTTCTGCACTTAGGGCCTTGGGACAGGGCTCTGGGCTTCTGAGTGCTTCCTGCCGGCCCAGCGGGCTCAGGGCCTCTCTCCTGGAAATGTCATTCTCTTTGACCACCTGAATTCTAGTAGCTGGCTCTTGGGCATAACCCCCCCGGGGCGACCGGTCCAGAGTAATCCTGACTAGAATTGTATAGAGCTTGGCTCAGTACTCCCTGCAGAATAGAGTTTGCTAAATGCCGGCAGCTGGTGTGGCTTCTGCAGGCACAGATCTGCCTTCTGTGTCCCATGGGGACACATCTCTGTCTTTGTGGGGACATGGCTATGCAGGCCCCATCACCTGTGTTTGCCTGTCCACTCCTGCAGGTGCAGTTGGCTGGTTTGGTATGGGAAGAAGGAAGATATGGAGGGTTCTGGGGTGCATTGTTTCCCCAGTGGTATGTGCGGTACTGACAAGCGTGAACTGGCTGAAAAATATTAAAACGCCGAGGGGTCAGTCGGGTTGGGCAGGAGAGCATCTCATCTTGGGTCTAAATTGCTCCAGACCTCTCCAGCTTGGGGACACACAGTAGGAGGCAGGGGTGGCACAGAGAGAAGAGGCAGCTTCTGGAAACCCTCCTAAGTACCCTCCAGGTCATAAGATGCAGGTGGAAGGCTGAGAGAGGGAAGAGTGTAGAATTAGGCCAGAGTGTTTAATTTGTGAGAAACGAGATGATAGCTTCCTTTGGGGTCTGGCGCTCTGGGTTTGAATCAGAATTCAGTGGTTATTACTATGTTACTAGCCATGTTCCCTGCAAAGGTCTCCCTGGGGCTCAGTAGCTTTATGTGCAAAATGGGACTTAAAACTGCTGTCCTGCCTACCTCAGGGGGTGTCTTCAGGCTCAAATTGGCTAATGCCTGGGCAAGGGCTGGGACAGCCTTAGGCTGCTAGGGCGAAGGGCAAATGGTGGGCTCATGGGGCAGAGTCTGAGGCTTGGGGAACACTTTGAGGGCCTGGAGCTCTTTGGTTGGGGTTAGTTAAGGAAGCCATTTGCATACTCCTTCCCTTGATATTCAGCATCAGAGGAATATGAGCTCAGAGCCCAGCAATGGACTCGTGGTGTGTGAGATACATACAGATCTGGCGGTACCAGGTGTTTTGTATGAAAGCCTTCTCCAGCCCAGAAGGAAAACTGGCTTGGTTGGCTTTTGAGTTGTGTAACCTTAGAGCAACTTGGCTTTCCAGAGAGCTTTCCTCCAAGTGAGCCACCATCTTGCTTTTATCTTCATGCAGCCAACAAAAGCAGTAAGGAGCCCTTTCCACAGTTTGAAGCCAGGGTGATAGGAGAGGAGGACATTTTCCCAAGCAACGTCATGGGTGTGGGATGTCAGCTGCCTGGTTCTGTCTTCTGGGGTACAGAGCCAGGCTGAAACCAGCCGAGAAAGGCTGAGAAGTTAAGAGTCATGACAGGTAGCCCTGAACACCAGGGCAGGCTTGGGGTTTTGTGGGCACTTGGATGTTCCCCCATCACAGAGCCTTATTTGCGCGTAGCAGCCGTGTAGTAAACACTGAGAAAGGAAAGTAGGCCCTGGCCAGGGGGCCTGGAAACCTGCGGTCAAGTCCTGGCTCGGCTCTCAACTTGTGTGTCCTGGAGAACGTCCCTTCACCTCTTCGGGTCTGCTTCCTCACTGGTCAAAATCAGGGCATCTGTCCAGTCAGTTGTTCTGCCCTCTGCTCATGTTCCACTTCCTCAGAGAGGCCTTTCCTCATCCCCTATCAAAAGCAGCTTCCTCCTGGGCCCACAAGCACATTCCCTGATCTGATCCCTTCACAGCATTTACATGGTCTGAACTTAGCTTTGCTAAGTTTTCCATACCTGGAAGATTCAGGAAAGCAGGGCCCTGCCCCAGTCTTCCACCCAGTGGCTCACCAGCCCCTGCAACACTGTAGGTACTCAAAAAAGGTTGTGTCCGTGAGGGAGCAAATGACTTACTAAGCAAGGAACTGCGGCATGCTTTTCAAGTTGTGTTCCTAGGAGCTTTTGAGGGAGGAACGAGCTCCATAAGCAGGGCCTGGGGTCCCTCACTCCAACAGCTGGGGGTTAATCTGAGTTATGGGCTGGTGTCCAGGTAGGATTTCCTTTGAAGAAAGGGCCCTCCCACTAAGATAAAACTAGAAACCCATTGTATCAGAAGACCCCTAGGGGCTTTTTCAAGTCCAAGTTGAAATCATAGTTCTCCAGCTGGAAATAGTGCCCTCTTGGCCCTCAAGGAGGACCAATGGCCGTGATTCAGACACTCACATGCCACAGATTGCTTCTGCTTGGCCAGGGAAATCGACATAAGGTTGTTTTCTCGCAACCAGTTTAACTTCCTGACTTTTTGGACAAGGTTAATATGAAAATGATTTTGCACACAACCCAGCAGCAGCCAGCAGTCCGTGGGAACTCTGAACCATGTGTGAGATGAGCAGGGGGGGACACTGACTATTTACAAAGCCAATAAACCACACTCTGATATTGGAGAGCTGCCTGTTCAGGGTGAGCGTGTCTGTCATCATCCTCCCTGGGGTGGGGGGGTGTGTTCCCAGGCCGACCGTCCAGACGGGTATCCACTCAGTGTGTTTTATTCCTGAGTCATTGGCGGTGGGACGGAGCCCTCTCTCTGAGCCATTCCTGAGCCTAGGAGACAGCAACGTGATGGTGCACCCTGACCCGCATTTACAGCAACCCTATTGGCCCCGAGGTCGTCTCTTCCTGTAAATACATTTGCAGGTGGCCCTGTGGCTCCTGTCCCCAGTACTGTGCTCAGGTTTTTGGCACAGAATCCATGTTGACCACCACCTTTGTTAAACCCCATGAGAATTAATATAAGACATGTATACTCTAATGTAGTTATATAACGTATAATATTATATATATGTAATTATGTCAGATGCATTAACGCCATATAGTATATAATATGTAATATATGCTAAATATTACATGCTATTAATATATAAATGCATATTATATAGTTACATATTATAGCATATACTGTTAGTATTATATACTATATATACTATTACTATAATATTGTTATTTAATATTATTTATGTTACTATTTAGTATATAGTAAAACATAGTACCTAATAATATGTGTAGTATCTAGTAGTATATAGAGAGTATATAATAGTATGTACTAAGGGCCGCTATTAATATATAATATTGCCATTACATGTTATATATGTAACATGTAATGGCAATATTATATATTAATAGCACACCGCTTAATGGAGAAGGAGTTTCACTTGTTTTGTTGGGTTGTTTTGGGGCCGTAGCTGAGGGGGGAGACTATGGAAAGAAGTGGAAAGGAGATAGGGAACACAGACATCCCCCTCCCCCGACCAATTTCTTCTGACCATTGACCTTGCTTCTTGTAGCCGTCCCTGCTCTGGCTGCTCGTGGGCTCCTGGGCTCCTGAGGTTTGTACTTACAAGGGGGTGCGCTGCAGAGCTGAAGGGGTGGCTGACCTGTGTGCACAGATACCCGGCACCTCCTCTGAGCCTCCCGGCCTGCGAGTACCTAAAGGCCTGGCCCCTGACCTTAGGCATCTAGTTGTGAGGAGATTAGAGTCCCTCTGGGGAAGAGAGGAGAGAACAGCTGAACGTACAGTACCTGGGGGGACGCTCACCGGGGCCGTGGGGCTGGGGGTGGGAAGGCAGAGAGCCCAGGTCTGGGTCAGGCACTCCAGCCTGGAATCCCGGCCCTGTTCCTTCCTCCCAGGGGACCCTCCATGTGTTATGCAACCTCATTGAGCTTCAGTTCCTCTTCTGCCAACCAAAGAACAATCTCTAACTCCCGGCTGGCCTGGGTGTGGATGGATGGCTGAGGGGCACAGAGTGCCCAGGCGTAGGCTGAGAGGTGAGCACTCTGGACAGGTGTTCATGGTGACCGGGGGACCCGCCAGGTGGTGACCGCTGCACCACGCATCCCAACCCTGATCTTACATGCTGGGCATCAGGGGTATGCCCGGGCCAGCTGGCCACCCCTTTCCTCCTCTGGGTGCATTTCCCCCTGGGCCATTCTGCTCCCCACACAGCTGCGTGCAGGTTACAGCTGGATTTAAGTATCTCAGTGCCCCGTGTATGCATCAGCCCTTCTTAAAGGCTTAAGGGCTTTTACTGCAGAATGCCAAGAATTCAAGGACTGAGGCTGTTACAGAAGTTCAGGAAATGTTAAAGGAAATTGCTCTGACGTACCGTGATCTGTTTTGAAGTAGTAAGTTTTGAACTAAAGTAGAGTGCCCTGACCCTCTTTGACGGCAGGCAGCGGGAGAGAACCCCGCAGTGGTTCCTACCTGTGTCCTGACTTCCAGATTCTTCTTCTTCTTCTTCTTTTTTGAACAGGGATCTCATGTTTTGAAAGAATTTTGTCAGCCACATTTCAGTGTAAAGGGAAATTTGTTTCTCCATTGGAAGCAATTGATCAAAGACCATAAAGCATTAGTGATTTCACTACCCAGTGTCGTCTTCTCCGCTTTCTATCATTTACATTTTTTAAAAGACTGGTTTAGACCATTTAACCAACAGATTCTAGTGTGTTGAAAAGATCAGAAGCAAAAAGGACAAAGAGCAGGACTGGGATGGTGTTGTCTAGTTTTTCTGAGGTTTGGGACAGATTGCAAAATTATGAACAGTTTTCCCATTATCCTGTTTGATTGCGT